GAAGGAGGACAAAGCACATGAAAATAAACAGGGTGATGCGACATGCTTTCCACATTTCACCACCAGCTATTTTTCCAAGAAGAAGAATCAGCACTAGCTGATCGAGGATGCGAAGGTTTCCATTCTGCTTCCATCATCGTTGGCTTTGTGTGTGCTTGTCTCTGTTATGTGTGAGTGTTTCTGTTTGCTATTCTCATGTCAGTGGTGTGACTCCAATAAATGCACATCAGTGCATCAGCTGCACGTGCCATCTGAGTGCACGTCTGTGTGCATGTGTGATTGAGGTGTGGAGCAAGATGCAGCTTCTATGCTGTGACTGTGCTCATGTGTATCGATTTGGATTTCCATGATTGTTGTGTACTTGTGTGTGGCCTTCCTCTACGGAAGCAGAGGCACGCGTGCTGATGCTTGCCTGCCTCGAGTGGTTGCCTCTGTACTGTGTGTGTGAGCATATGGGCCTTTGTTGCCCATGCATGCTCATGGATTTCGTTGTGTGTACTGTGTGGCCTCCCTCAGGACCATGTGGTGTGGCTGGCTCCATCCATATAATAAGTGTGATATTTGGCTTGTTAATTGAATTCCTTTTGTGCGCTGCATGTTTATCATCATCTCACCGAATGGCCCAAGTGACAGGGCCTGATGTTTCATACATCTCTGGCATGCATCGATGGTGCATGGCAGCGGCGGACCGAGAAATGAAGCAAGAGGGGGCTAAATAATAGTGGGCTAGAACTCATACAAGTGGTGCAGTAATAGATATAACAAAGAATAGAAATGATAATATCAATTCAAAATGCTCAAGCAATACGTAAAAAATTTCACACCATCTTGATGGTCGTCTTTAATTCTATGAAAAAACAAGATAACATTATGAATTGAAATAAACAAATATAATGCGTGTCATTCATTTCTTGGGCCATCGCGGGGCAAATTTAACATACAGTTTTTAAGACTTGAGAGCACTTTAGAATTTTTTTCATCTTCAACAGATACATATTAAGCTCAAGCCATGGTCTTTTTTTTCAACTTGGCTCTCTTTAGTTTCAGCACTACTCTTCGATGCGTCATTCTTACAAAAATACCTTTCCATCCTTCCTAGCTTTCTATGCCTACGACATATGAATGAATATATTGCAAATTGGAATGTGAGTATTAGGAACTAGTCAACTAGACATTCGAAAATTGAAATTCAGCAACTAGACCCTAATACCATATACTGTTGTGTATTCTCAGATCTAACCGTGAGCAGCCTGTAGCAGAGCAGAGCAGGGGCGGTGCCTCTGCCCTCCCTCTCGACTTCTAAAATCTGGATCGAGGAGCCTGTCACTCTGCCTGGCCGCCTGGGGGACTAGTGCCGCGCGCGCGCGTATGTGTGGGTGGGTGGGGGCGCTGCTGCTGAAGGGGCCGCCGCGGTGTAGGGTGCAGTCTGCAGAAGGGGCTGCCAGCGGCAGCGCGGCCGGTTGGAGCGTGGAGGTCTGGAGGCGGAGGCGCGGAGCTGTGGATCTTGGGCGCCTGGGCAGCCTCGCCGTGACGTCGCCGGGAACGGGAAGGGAATCGGGTGGTGGTCATGGGCTGTCTCTGTGTTGGGCTGGCCGTGGGGTAGGGGTTGCCTAGGCCTAGCATTGGGGAGCTTTCGTGGGCTGCTGATAAGGACCTACTCTTAGAAAATTTGGGCCGCAACTCGAGCTGCAGCCCCCCAGCCCAGGGCCCATGTCCGCTCACACTTTCTGGTCATTTTTCAGACAGCAGAACAAATAAAAGAGGAGACTCGAAAGAAATGAGCAGTATTTTAATAAGAGAGAATTCCTTATTTGACACTGGGAAAATGAGTCGTTCCTTTCTTGGTCCTGAAATTTTCTTCGTTCCCTATTTGACACTCACTTCAACTTTTCGTTCCTAATTTGACCTTTGTAGTCAAATCCGTTATTAGCTAACGGTGTTAACTAACGTTAAAAAAGCGTTTTTGCCCTAGAAAAAAAAAGCGGCGAAGCAAATTTGAGAGGAAAAAAACCTGCCTTTTTTTTTTTGTAGTAGGCGCATGCATCGAGGCGGCGCGTTTTTTTTCCTCTCAAATTTGCTTCGCCGCTTTTTTTAGGGGCAAAAACGCTCTTTTTAACGGCCGCTAACACCGTTAGCTAACGGATTTGACGGCAGTGTCAAATTAGGAACGAAAGTTGAAGTGAATGTCAAATAGGGAACAAAGAAAATTTCAGGGCCAAGAAAGGAACGACTCATTTTCCTAGTGTCAAATAAGAAATTCTCTCTTTTAATAATGGATTCATTAATCCAGCCTCTATATCCACGAAGTATATACACAGCCAAGAAGGTCTTCGGACTCCTAGGCCGTCGTCGTCCCTACAACACAGCTGCCTACGGAACCACCTCCGCGGGATCTTCGTTCTCCCTGCTGAGGCTGTCGACGCTTATTAGGCCGCCACCGTCCTCCACCACACCCACTGCCGCGCAAAAGGACAACGTCGTCGACGCCTCGCTGCCATCTACGGCCATAAGCTGCAGGCTCCTCACCATCACGTAGGTGCGCGAGCACCCGCGGCCACCGCCACCCCCAGCAGGGGCCGCAACCGTGTGCGCGGGAGCCTTAAGTCCCGTCACTGCATCTGCCATCCGCGTGGAGCGTGAAAGTGCATAGGCCCCCGCCGCCCGACCCCCGCCCGCCCAGATCTGGGCCGCCACAGATTTTCGGACGCACGTGAGCACGCTCTGGGCCGGGCGTGCCGGCCTCACCAAGCGCGCCACCGCCCACGGACGCGTGGATCTGGGCCACCACCGTCGCAGCCGTGCCGCGCAAGCGTAGGGGAGCACGAGTCGCTGCTGCCGCTTTCCGCTGGGCTATGGGCCACGCGAGCACGCGGGCCAGCACGGCCGCCGCTGCTGCACGGGCAAGAGCAGGTGTGCAGTGTGGCGCTACCGCTGCCATAGCCAACGTAACGCCGCCCACCAGCAGATGGGGAAGAGACAGAGGCAGAGAACCCCGCTGCCACGACCATCGCCAGATGGCTCTGGCGGCGGCGAGGTCGAGTGGCGCGGAGGAGTCTGACATGGAATTACATTTATTCTCCGTCTTATTATAATTGTATACATATCACTGGGTCAGAGTTTGAATTCAAGACATTGAAATTGTTTGGCTATTCCTTTAGCGCAATGTTCATGTATGAGATTTACCTATCGAGACTCCTGTAGCATGGAACTACCTGAAACATCGCTTGGTTTTGAAAAGCATTTGCATGGAACTGTCACTGTATGGTGCCAGCATAAGTCTAGCATGGTGATGTTTTGCATAGTCAGCACATCATGCTGAAAACCATGTGTTTACATTGTCTCAGCATTAGCTGAAAACTAAAGGCATAACCACATGCTGTTACTTCCTACGACATCGCTATCACTATGTATTAGGTACCATGCATGTAAAGTCGGCCCAGCTGGGCTTGTAATAGCGTTGGCCAATGAGCACTGTGTGAGGGACGGATTATTTATCTTGTGCGATGTCGTGCTTGTTGCCAACCTTTAAGGTTAAGAAGAACCTGGCCTCACGTCAATGGAGATCATGGGTTTGGCATTCATCAGCTAAAAACTAAACGCATTAGTGCATGAGCAACTGACCATCATGTTATTATTCCCTATGACACCAGAGTTCGGAGCATCGGTGTCTCCTTCCTGTGTGGATTATTTTGCATATAGAACTCCTTTTTTTTTATTTCAGACCATCAACCCGCAGTCCATCTAGCAATAATTCACAATGAACGTGTTCAAACATTTTATGTATAGCCCCATCACCTAAAGTATATTTCCATGTGAAGAAGAAAAAAAATCGAGATATTCCTCGTCTTTACAAATGAACCTCGTCCCTGCCTTAGCCTCCCCTCCCCTCATTTCTTTCTCTCTTTCTCTCTCTCATGTTACCGCCGCCAGGGGGCTCCCTCGGATCCGATGTGCGTAGTACTCCACGCCCAAACGGCAACCAATGTAAGATATGTGACGGCGAGCAGATAGCATTGGGCGGGAGTCGCAGGGCGTGGCAGCGCTTGGAGTCGCATGAGATCATGGTGTTCGGTCGGCGCAAAACTGTGGGGGCACGGGCAACCACATGTGAGCTCAGCAATGTTCCTTGCAACGGCGAGCCAAGGCGCCATGCCAGTGTGTGCCTAGTTAACCCTAGGTCGCACACATCTCAAGGGACTAGCACAATTAGTTGCTAACATTTTTATGTAGTACTCTTGTGCATGAACATTTGTAGGGATTAGTTGATCACGTGGTAACTCACTATCTAAAATGGAGAATGGTACATGAATTGATGATACTAGATGATACCCCACGCGTTGCTGCGGGAATTTTATAGTTTTGCATATGTTTTCAAAGGGAGAAACAATATTCATAAAGAAAAACAACGATCCATCTTCGGTAAACCCTAACAAAACGTCTATCAATCAAATACATATCTTCATTAAGAAAATACACGTATATCAAATACTCCCTCTGTCCCAAAAAAAAAGAGTCATTCTCGTTTCCCAAATAGTCAGCAATCTTTAACTTTGACTAAATATATATAATAAAATATTAATATTTATGGTATATAATTAGTATCATTGATAGATCTTTAAATACATTTTTATAATATAAGCTTATTTAGATATACAAATGTTGTACGTATTTTCTACAAATTTAATCAAAGTTGAGAAAATTTGACAATCCCGTAGCTTTACTCTTTTTATAGAGACGGAGGAAGTATACGATAAAAGAGGATGGCATCTATCTACTCACGTGCAAACTATAAAAACACATTCTGCAGTTCCTCAAGTACTGTGTCGGTCTCCAAAAGACATCAATTGTGATTTAAATTTTGTAAAAACTCTCAGTTGTGGGACCCATCTCTAGAAAACCACTGCACCTGCACGGCATTATCCTTACTGCCTTCCATCTCACGTAAAAAAAGGTGCCGCCCTGTTAAAAAAAGAAAAGAAAAATCAGCGCAACATTACCTCATGGCGGACGGGGGAGCCGATAGGCTCTCATCCACTCGTTCGTCTTCCCACTCGTATCTTCTCCACCACGGACCGGTCGTTCGCCTTCCGTCGGAGCTCCGATCCGCTCAGATCTCCATCCTGCTTCCTCCATTTTTCTTCCCCTTCCAGATTGCCACCCTCGTCGCATGCTTGGCTGCAGGCATGAAGCTGGGAAACGGTGGCGGCGGTGGCTATGGTTGCCGACAGCGTGGGCGTCGCGCCGCACGTCTCGGCGTCCTACGAGTGGGCCGGGCACGAATCGAGCTTCCTACGTCGAGATCCGGCCTCAGGCGAACGACCGCCGGGGCTGGGGATGGGGGCCCTAACGCCGGCGAGCGAGCCGTCGCGGGCGCACGGACGGGGCGATGCAGCGCCGCCGAGCGGGGCGGAGGTGATATTGAGCCCCGGGTGTCCGTCTGAAGCCCGATGGTGGCAGCGCGACGCGGTGTGGTGCTGCCGAGCGGGGCAGGGCATGGCGGATGTGGAGTTATTTGAACTCAATTGCGACGACCTTTGGTTTTCCTCCGATGGCTGCGACGACCTTTGGTTTTTTTTCGGTTCGTTTTAGCTGCATTTGTTGTGGCATAGGAATAGTTGGTGTTTCTGATTCTTTTTCGGTTCGTTTTAGCTGCATAATGGAATCGTTGGTGCGAGTGGTGCGCTAGAAGGAACAACGGCTGAGGTGGGAAAAAGTGACGTGGCCTAACCATGGTTTCCTTTTTTTTTTGTCGAAATCTCATGATATTTTCGATATATCATTTTTATCTGTAGGTGCTGATAAAAAATATCTATTTTTTCGTACAAATTTTGTTTAAATTTATTTAAATTTACTTAAATTCAAATTAAATTTTATTTGAATTTGGTCCGATATTTCCGATATATCATGTTTATCCTCTTTATCTGTGACCCCCGATAAATTTTAATTTCCGAAAATAAAAACCTTGGGCCTAACGAGAAGCTAGGAAAATAAACTAACCGAGATCTCCTATTTAGTTATAAAAGACAGAAGATTCCTATTAGTCTATCAACTTCAAGTGTGACTTCTGTGTTATGACCCATGGACTCCACGGACTTGTATATTACTCTTGGAGGTTGCCACCTCCTAGACGACTGGATGGCAAGAGGGCTTCGTTGAAGCACCACACTGATATTGTGGTGGCTCTAGAGGAAGGAATTGTTTGGGGCTCTTGTGCTCATCCCCACTAGAGATTGGCAATGAACTACTCTAGTAGATGAAGGTGCGAATAAAATATCTTCGTGACACGAAGGTGTAAATAAAATACCTTCGTGACACGTCAGCTTATACACGAGTGCACACTGGTGGATAAGCTGTTGAACCAGGGGAAAAATCATCGTGTCAACCTCGGTGTGCAAACTCCCTAACACTAGCTCTTACATGTACATCTTGTTCTAGTTTTGTAGTTGTTGCTCTTGTGGTACTTGTGCATGTGTAGCTCTTCTATTAGTTCAGTAGCTGTCTTGAGTAGTGCTTACAAGTGTACCTTGCTCTTAGTGTTTACCGTTGCTCACTGGTATGTGTAGGAGCTCCCATATGCTTGCTTGAGTACTAGTTGCTTAGGTTTGTGTTACCTTGCAAACTAGACTCTCACTAGATCGGCGTTTGTTTCATCTTGACGTAGCGATTAGTTTTAGAAACAACTATTCACCCGTCTCTAGTCGGCCATGCATCTCGACCTTTCTCATATCCGTGCATATTCCGGGACACAACAATCCTTCTCCTCTCTAAGTCTACCAACTCTCATACACATTGTCATACACCCTTGAGTCAGCTCTAATGATGTACCTTTGGGGACTATTCTTCGTCCAAGCTTCATGGCCTTCTAGTACTTGCCCAAAGGCGAAGAGCATTACATACCTTCCCTAAATTGGAATAACAACTTAGTAACTGCAGGGTGGTGGTGTGACTAAGGTATGATCCCGAACAACAACACCCTCTGAGTTTAGTGTGGTCGGGCAAAGTTGTGACTCGGTGTATGGAGGATGGGGAGATCTATTCCTCATAGAGAAGCTCCGTAGTGGACGACACCTTAGTGACAGGAAGACTCGGCCGACAAGTGTCGAGCCGTTGTGACCTTTTTAGCTTGCCCTACACCGTGACCATGGTAAGGCTTAGTGAATAGGAGTGTATCCTTCATCGATCTCCAATATGGACTATTTCAATTAGTATTACAAACAAAATGTTAAAATAGACATGCTTTTACTAATTTTTGTTGCTTACAAAACACGAGATCACTATTCTAGGCTTCTTGGTTGCTTCTGTGTCCAACGGACGAGCAACATGTTTTTCTGCTCTGCAGCTGTGCATTCGAATTTAACCATGGACAAATTTTACATTTAAGATTCCTCCGACATCTCGTTTTTTAAGTTTTCTATATATATGCTGCTGAAACTTGCAAAAACCGCTTACTTTGACCTCATGCTCCAGTTCCCTTGTCCATGTAAAATAAAATCAAGTATCTAAATGTTTTCAGTTTAAGCCTTACTTTGAGTGCTGTAAGAACATAGGTGTGCCTCATCTGTTTTCTTCTCGTTTATTAATTAGATTCGATGGGTGCCCTATATACCTTAGCTTATCTGTGATCGTTTGCTAGCATAGATGCTCTTTTTCCAACAAGTTTCTTTGCTGCTAGTTATTTTCAAACAGGGTCGGTGGTACATCTCCTACCATCGGTTCACTTATTGGTAACTGTTTTCGTTTCTACAAGGAGGAAAATGGAACTCGCTGACAAGGTCCGATCCAGAGCTATTCCAACAAGTTTCTTTGCTGCTAGTTATTTTCAAACAGGATCGGTGGTAAATCTCCTACCATCGGTTCATTTATTGGTAACTGTTTTCGTTTCTACAAGGAGGAAAATGGAACTCGCTGACAAGGTCCAGAGCTAAACTCAAGTCTCATAGTTGGCAAGTTGGTATAGCTCTGGTGCTTCAATATATATATAGTCCTGCAGCGCTGTTTTATGACAAGTTCATACACAAAGCTCACACAAAATTGCAGTACACAAAGCTCGTGTATATGTATGTTTCTAATGTCACACCCGATTTTAAGGATAAAATGGGATGCAAAATCTTATGTGCGCCCAGTGATCGGTTACACATATAAGCCGATAAATTATAAATAGTATCATCACAAGTGTTTATTACATCACGAACAATAAGACATAATTTTTACATAAATGTAGCGGAAGTATAAAGAAAAATCTCTCGCGGAAGCTCCATATCAGGAACGTCAACTGGTTGACCACAAGTCTAGTAATCCTCAGGAAAGTCGTCATTACCATAGCTATCTGTTACCCATCTGAGATTTTTATCCAAATAATGAAAATAAACAAGCGTAAGTACATGTCGTACTTAACAAGTGTAACATGGGGTTCATTAGGCTCAAAAGGCTTGACACAGATTTAACAACATTTAGCTTTTAGTTGTCACGATTTTAGCATAAGAGTAGCAACAAGTTGTTTCAATCCCATATAAACACATGATTAATGTAAACATGAATAATGAATAGCATAAACGGATAATTCTTAGTGATTATCTATTCCATAAGGATTCCAAGGCCGCTCGTGACCGTGAGCACGACTGATATACCAGTTTTACACTCTGTAGAGGTTGTACACTTTCACTGTGAGTCGTGATACCCATATGCCCAGGTTAATTACTCCCAAAACACTTCCAAGGTGAGCAGGCAGGGTTCACTATAAAGCCTTTCAAAGGTTCATCTAACAAGTTAGGGCCATTAGATTCACTCGGCAAACAAATATAGGAACCCCATGTCGAATGGCATAATTTCATCACGGTTATACACATAAGAGTAGAGGCTGTCATATACCCGATTCGTCGAGCTATTCTTATGCCAATAAAGGTAACCACTAACAAGCTAGAAAATGTCCTCATACTGAGCTAAAGCCAGAGCCATGTAGCCCTCATAGCTGTACTGTAAATCCTGGATGATCACTTACAGATAAGTCCTTAGGGAGAGAAATTTGAAGCATTTAGAAAGTAACTAAACACTCCAGCCCCCTATTACCAAGTTGCTAAAAAGACATATTTTAATGTTTATTGCATATACCATTAGTCAAGTTACAAGATCATGGTTTAATTGAGCACTAACAAAACAACCCAATGCATATCTCTTAGGAGACTAAGTATAAAATCAATTCTAGGGAATCATAATCAAGGTGACACATGCAATCATGAATTAAATGTATTAAGGTGAATAGGAAATAAGGATGATCCCATACTATACTTGCCTTGAACAAAGTGCTCCTACTGATCCTGCTCGTCAAAGTAGTACTTTTGGTCACCCACGAATTGCTCACCGTCTATACTCGATAACCACAGCAACATACAAGCATCCAGAAGCAATCATGCATAGCAAACAAAAGCTATAAATTAGAACAATGCACCAATTAGCATAAAATCTAGATCAAAAGTTTGTAAAACGAATTTACGTCTCGCTACGATCACACAGACGCGAAGATCACAAAATTCGGAGCTAAAACGAAGAAGTTATGAATTAAACAAGATTTCCTTTAATAAAATAATAGATTAAATCTAACCTCAAATTTTAAAATTTGAAAACATGTCTAACAGCAGTATGAACATGTAGATTATGGAATTACGAACCTAGCGCAAGTTGAATGGATCAAATCGGAGCTAAAACGTGAAAGTTATGGCCTATAGAAAACTAGTGACAAAACTGTAAATATGTGAAACTTAATTTTTGAATTAAAATCTGCCTAAGGACCACGGATATGATTTAAAGAAAAGGTAGGGGCTTTTTAGAATAAATGCAGGGACGGTGGGTTGAGATCCAAATAATTATAAGGGCCTTTTTGCAAAAACGCCAGGCGCAGGGGTAAGATCTAATTGGGATCGTCCGATCTAGATCGGACGGATGGAATTAGATTGGGAGGGGGAGAGAGAGAGCGTGGTCGCCGGAACAAGGCCGGGCGCGGCGGACCTCCATGGACGGCGGCGAGGAGCTCGTCGGCGTTCGCGGTTTAGGGCCTACGGACCACCACTAAGCGAAACAAGGATACGGGAGAGAAAGGAGATCAAGGCGAACTCACCAAGGGAGTTTTCGTCGGCGAGGGCAGGACTACGGCGACAGGTCGCTCGGTGAGGCAGACAGCGATGGTGGCGACTCGAGCTGCTAGGGTTTGGTGTCGACGTGGAGCAATAGCGAGGGTGGCGCTGGCTCTAAGATTAGGTACGAGAGCGGCACGACACTAGTGCTATTTATGAGGGCGTGGAACTTGCGGGTCACGCCACAACGACAGAGCACGGCGCGGCAGCGGACTCCTCCGGTGGAGTCTGGAGCGGACATAGGAGGAAGAAAGGCCTGACAGGGCGGTCCCGGCCGTCAGCGAGGGAGAAGGTAAAGGAGGGGCACGGCACGACATGCGTTGGGCTGGGCCGCAGGGCGTGGGAACTTAAGCCGGGCCTGCGGGGAAACCAGGCCGAGCTGTGAGGGGAAGAGGCGAAAGACTGGGCCGCCTGCTGGGCTGTGGGTGGGTGAGGCCGAGCGGTTGGGCCAACAGGCCGAAAGGGGAAGAGAGGACTTTTCTTTTTCTTTTACTTTTCTAAATTTCCAAAGAAATTTTCAAATCCAAATTCAAATCAATTTGAAGTCGGATTTCAGACCACACAATACAAAAATAATATGCAGCAGCATGAATGCATAAACATGTATGTAGACCTATATTTGATTTTATTTTTAACAAAGTTATTATTTTCCTAAATTTAAATGCTCACTAAATACATAATTAAATCATTTTCTTCTATTTTAAAATAATGCAAATTTTAGGGTGTTTCAAATGGTTCGTTCCTGTTGAGCACTTTGTTGCAAAACATAATTAACATGCAACTAAGTAAACCTAGTCAACCATTATAGAACTTTTCATTTTTGAACAGCTAATGCTAACTCTATATTCCACAGAAGAACATTTGAGGACAACAGCTGCATTCCACATGTCAGCTGCTCTTCTCACATTAAGGCCATTATCAATGATGGGTTTAATACTTGTGTTTTAAGAATGCCAAGTAAGCAATAGTAAATTAATTAATGAAATCTCATACCAGTCACTATTTCATTGATGTTTCGTAGGAAATATATGCTAGAGGCAATATGTTGGAATGTAAACATGGTTTCACCTCTCTCTAGATGTGTTCATCAATAATTATTTGACACGTTATCATAAAGCACTCCATTCAATAGGAATGAAATTCTCACTGGGAATGATCAAACCTATGGCAGAATTGTTCAGCAGCATGGACATAGCCCTAGCTATCTTATTTTGATACCTTCCATTTAAAATGACCAAACTAGCTAAACACTCTATTTTCAAGCTACCAACTAAACAAATGATCGTGATCCGCGTGGACATTTTTTTATTTCTATCACTGACCCACAGCAATCAGAAATACATAATTTTTTCTAACATCGACAGCAGAATCATATGATAAGAAAGGTGTCACATGTACTATGGTTTTTGAAACGAATCAGACGGGAGAGCTGCCGATTATATTAAAAAGAAGATAAGCCAAAAATAGGCACAATAATACAACAACGACCAACAACGCCGAAACTCAACAAAAAGAAAAAGAACAACAACTCTGGTCGGTCGGATTGGGACATCGACATGAACCGCACAAACAACAGAAAATAACACACTACAGCTAAGACAACTCAACAAACAAACATGTCGTCGTCAACAAGAGCAAACAAAACAAAGACAACCAACATGAACCCTACAACCCATTGAGTAGAGGCAAAGTGACCTCTGCCACAAGATCCCAAAAGGCACGACCTTTCAATTCCATCAGAGGCTTGAGGAGATCCGGTGGCAATAAATTCTTCAGGCAACCTACAATGTCTTGTATCGCGTTGTCATCGAGCTTCCCATCCTTCCCAACGATGCCCAACTCATTTAACACGTTGCGCTGTGCAAGGCGGGTACTTCGATGAAGTGAAGACCTATCATAGGACTTACGTCGACGTCTTGCTGTTACGGCAGGTGGTGAAGGGGAACGTACAGGAGGACACGACACGTCCTTCTCCTTCCCAGTTGTGGCAGATGGAGAAGACATTGCCTTTAGTGATGGACCATCTGCTAGTTGGGACACTTCTGCTGTGACCTCGGTCGTAGAGTGTGCAAGAGCGTCTTCGATGGTGATGAGATAGATGGGGTTCTCAACTATCACTTGTGAGACAGTTTCCAAATCATCAGATGCGTCCTCCACCAAAACAATATCCTCAACAGGAGTGACATCTTGAACACCAGAGGTCTCTAAGGGCATTGTAACAGGTTGATCTATTATCTTCTCACCCATGATGGCACATGTATCCTCACACACCAAGGAGTCGGCGGGTGCGCACGCCTCCACAATAGAGGCGAGGATCGACGGCATCGGAGAGCACCAAACTGGAGAACTGGGGCCGAAGAGCTCAGCCATGTTGGAAACAGAGGTATGCTCTCCAGGTGGCTCTGCACAGGGAGCAAAGAGACCGGGCACATCAACAGAAGGGTCCTCACTTGGCAGCTCAACATGCTTCAAGTGTGTAGCCAAACGTGCCAGCCACAACTTGATAGCTGAAATCTCATCTATGAGTGGCCGCACCAGATTCTCCTAATGGGTGATGATATGTTGTTGAAGCTCTGAGTGCACTGACTGCAGTAGAGGAGTAAGTATGGATTGGAGATCAAAGATGGCCGGAGCTTGAGGTGCACGATCACAGCGGGCATGTAAATCCTCCCCTCGCAAAGGCGAAGGGCTCTGTGGAAGCGACGGTTGAGTGCAGAGTTGATTTGGCGATGATGCGACCACAATGTGTGCCCAACTACGAGTTGGTTGGGGGTGGCGAGGATTGGCAGCTGGGGAGGGTGTGTGCTGGGTAGGGGAGGGGAACCGATGGGGGCAGTGCCTCTCCCGATGCCCAGGTCGACGACAACGAATGCAACGGAACAAATCCCAACATGAGCTAACCCGATGATCACGAGCAAGACAACGATAACATCTGCCTTGAGCCCACTGCTTGAAGGCAAGGCTGCGCTCAGATTTCATTGTGTCCGTGGAAGGCAACAGCTCCTCGACGCCACGCCTAGGATGTGAGCGACCCTCAGAGCTGCCTTTGAGAGCCATGGCTGCCGTGACCTCCCCCAGATGAACTGGACGACTGAGTTGGGGGCGGGTGGTTCTGTGGCCGGCAGCACAGCAGAGTCCAGATCCGGAGGCTCCGCAGCAGCTGGAGCGCGTCGTGGTGAGGACAAACAGGGCAGCTTCGGCTTCTCAGCTGGATATGTCGCAGCGCGTGCTCCTCCTTCCTTTCCTTCGTCGTCGCGGATCTGCCTCTCCGTTGTGCTGGTGCGGCCGCAAGCAGAGGAATCGAAATTTTCCGTTGTTCCTCCGGTCGTCGGTGAGCCTGCCTAGGCCCACGAAGTCCTAGGCACACGCCTCCACGGGGAGACGACGAGCCGGCGTGGATCCAGGAAGCACTGGGGTTCTGTGGGCTTGCTAACCGGAGATCCCCACGGAGCAGCGGCTGCTGGCGGTGTGGGCGTCGAGGAACCCCTCGGTTGCCGATGGAGTGGGTGTGGGGGTCCCCTCGGGGCGGCGACGGCCGACGGCAACGCTCGGGACGGCGGCGGCGGGGCGTCGGAGATCCCCTCAGAGCCCGGCACCGCGGGTATGGGCGAGCTCCTCGGGGCAGCGTCGGCGGTGGCGTTCCGAATGGATCTCGCCGGCCCGCCTCTTGTCCCTCCACCGGCAGGCTCTACATCTCTTCCAAGAGGACTGGGAACCTAGATGGTCGAGGCGGCGGCGGACGCGACGCGACGCACGGCGGCGGCGGCGACACGACGCCAAGGAGGCGGAAGTTGGATGGATCTAAGCGCCCCTAAGGAACTATGTACTATGATTAGGCTCTCATGTTTTGTTATGGAAATAGCATGCAACCGGATGGTAAATGTTGCGCGATGTGGATGTTCTTTAGGAACTAGTAGTTGATGACCCGAACATATTTCAGCATACTTGTCTTGTGCAGTTCAGCTTCCTCAAACATCTCGACTAATCGGAAATTTGGATGTTCCCCTTATAAAAACTGATCACTCCAAAACCTGGCTGTTGAGTACTCTACGAACAGAGATATGCCTCCTCTTCCCTCAGGGAGGGGGGAGATGTGCCACCTCTGCTTTATCTGGTGGCTCCTTTGCACTTCATATATGATGCCTGCTGTCCTATAAGTCGTCATGCGTTTGGCATGCATTACCTGCAAATAGAACAAACTGTGACCACAATTACCACGAAAGTGAGGCGCTGCCACCATGCCAATGTGTTCTGGCGCAGGCCAAATTTGTTCATGGTGTCGCCGCGTACAAATTTTATGGATTGGTGGGTTTGAGAACTCAGGAAGAAAAAAATTCAAGAAACCATTAACTTGTCTACGCATCCAAGAATAAAAAACTCAGCGAAAAGAAAACAACTCACCTAGGGATGAGTTGATCCAGGACAATCTGGTGACTTAATTGCGACTTTGCGAGACAGCGAGGGGAGCATCTTGCATTGAGAGAGAACTTGGGGCAGCTGTACGTATTGCATTAATTAATATAAATATGGCGCAAGGCAGCCATGCTTCTCAGCCTCCTGCTTATCCTTGGCTCCCCGCCGATGATCGCCGCTCAGCCGTGAAAGATCTGCGGCACCAGCAACTACACGGCCAACAGCATATACCAACACAACGTCGACAGTCTGTCGTGCTCGCTCCTTACAGCAGACAGCGACTCCAGCGATCTATTCGCCAAAGGCTCCGCAGGTGTCGCCGCAAACACCGTGTATGCCGTGGCGCTCTGCCGTGGCGACCTCAACTCTTCTGCCTGCAGCGCCTGTGTCGATGCCGCGTTCAAGGGCGCGAGACAGCTGTGCGGGCTCAGCAAGGGCGCGACCATCTTCTATGACGAGTGCATCATCCGCTTTTCGTCGATGGTGCGCTCACCCTGATGAATCTCAGCTCAGAGCCCATGTTACCCGGTTGGTGGGACGCCATGAACCAGCAGCAGCCGGCGACCGGAAACTTCACAAAGTTCTTCAAGCCGATGCTGAGTGACACGGTAGCGCAAGTTCTCTCCACGACGAAGCACTACGCTGCAATCCGTATGGGCACGAATGATGGGAGCACCACTGTTCCACAGCTCTACTGCTTGGCACAGTGCGCTCCTGACCTGGTTCAAGATATCTGCTACAACTGCATCCAAAATTTCAGCGACCTGGCCACAGCCAACTTCGCCGGGCGGCGAGGGGGCGTGTTCTTGGTCTGCGGTGCAGTTTGAGGCAGGGTTTACAATTTTGGCGAAATATCGCTGAAATTTCCGAAATATCGCCTTTTTCGCTGAGGTCCGAATTTTTTTTTGTAACAGTCAAAATTTTTCGGTTAAATTCATCTTTCACTTTAAAATTACACCAAACCATACTAAAATGACCCTCCATATCATTTAGTCTTATCAAAGCCCTAAATTTCTTCAAATTTATTTAATTTTCTCACTCACACATTGGACGACACTAGTATATGCAGCTCGCCCACCGTCAGCACACTGTATTACCGCGGCTCTACTTCTGTGATATATTATGTTATTTCGTCGATGTTATATAAATTTATGATGGATGATGGATTATAGAGTTTTTCTAGTGAAATGATGTCAAATTTGTTTAAAACTCAATTTAAATTTATTTAAATTTGAACCGATATTTCCGAAATTTCTGAAATTTCGTATTTATCGCTGGGGACCGAAATTTTTTTCTTACCTGTATTGTAAACCCTGGTTTGAGGTACGATACGAATAATTTCTTCGCCGGTGAGCCGACATGGAGCTCGGGGTCCTTGAGTGCTCTTGTTCCAAGTCCATCACCATCACCACAGCCTGTCCCGCTGCTACCATCACCAAAACCCAAGAGTATGCAGTCCTTTCCTTTCTTCCCATAGTACTTATATATACCGACTAAATACAATAATATTACTTTCGTTGTCACCATATCATGCTTTGCAACCAACTAACTGTTTACACTCAATATATAGCACCTATAGGTAAAGTTGTGGCCATTTCCTTGGTTGCTCTACTACTACTGGTATTGTTTATCTGCATCATCGTTTTGTTCAGAATGCGACAGAACAAAAAGGGTCAGCAAATCTACAGAAAAGTCTTTCGTTTATGAGTGTATAAAGTACATTAACTTGTAGTATCACACCGAGTCTTAACCAGGCAACACAAACACGAATGAAGACGAAGCACAGATTTTGGGACTAGATGGAAGGAATTCAGAATTAAATATTTATGAATTCTCACAAGTATTAGAGGCCACAGGTACTTTCTCAGAAGAAAACAAACTTGGGCAAGGAGGCTTTGGTCCTGTAGACAAGGTAAGAGGGTAAAGAAAACACAAGCATGGGCTTAGAAGAAGAGACAAAATCAGTCAATGACTGAATGCTGAGAAACAGATTTGTATACTGTGCAACACTCTGCATTAGCCTATTATCTTGGTCAGAACGTTAGTCCAGTGTCAAAGGGGACAGTTGAAATTGCAAAATTGTGTCACTAATCCCATCTCTTTTTCACTTGTCTCTAGGGCCAATTTCCTGATGGAGTAGAGATCGCAGTTAAAAGACTTGCTTCTCATTCAGGGCAAGGCCTAGTAGAGTTCCAAAACGAAATTCAACTCACAGCTAAGCTCCAGCACACAAATCTGGTCAGGCTCTTGGGATGTTGTTGTCATGGGCAGGAAAAAATACTAATATATGAATATTTGCCAAATAAAAGCTTGGATTTATTCATTTTTGGTATTACCTCTCACAGTACCACAGTACAACAAATTCTTTGTTCATTAAGTGCAAAATGTTTTACTTTAATATATATTTATGTTATATTGGTTTGCAGATGAAACAAGGAGAGTTTTATTAGATTGGAGTAAACGCCTAGCGATAATAGATGGGATAGCACATGGACTTCTCTATTTACATAAGCACTCTCGTCTGCGTGTCATCCATAGAGATCTCAAAGCAAGCAACAGTTTTTTGGACCGTGAAATGAGCCCTAAAATTTCAGATTTTGGGCTTGCAAAAATATTTAGGACAAATGATACTGAGGGGAATACAAAAAGGATCGCTGGGACATAGTAAGATTTTCATATGAATTACTACGATCCATCCTTGCTGTAATACCGCCAATACTGTTATGTCATTTCAGTGTTTCTGATACACATCCTTTCAATGGTTATATGGCTCCAGAGTATGCCAGCGAGGGCCTCTTTTCAGTCAAATCTGATCTATTCAGCTTTGGTGTGCTAATGCTTGAGATTGTCAGTGGAACAAGAACATCAAGTTTTCATCGATATGGAGAATTCATTAACCTTCTTGGACACGTGAGTATGTCTATGATATAAATATGTAGTCATTTACTACCAGAAATGGAAAGAACAAAGTTTTGAGTGGCATCACTGGCATGTCTTACACCATCCTCCACTCACTAACTGTCAGTGCTTAAAGTTTTTTCTCTCCCCCTTCTTCTGTAGTAGATCATTGGAAGCAACGTGCTCAGATCATTGAGAGTATATCTACGTATTTGGTATCTGTACACTTTTACGCTGCAGGCATGGCAGATGTGGAATGACGAAACATGGCTTCAACTCGTAGATACATCACTATTTTCCAGTGACTCTCATACACTAGAGATGATGAGATGTATCAACATAGCTCTGCTTTGTGTGCAAGAGAGTGCAGCTGATCGACCCACCATGTCAGAGGTTGTTGCAATGCTTAGCAACGACAATGTGACCCTACCTGCACCGAAGCACCCAGCATTTTTCGACCTCAGGGTGACAAACGAGCCTTCAACTGTTGTTGTGGCATCCAGTGTTAATGGAATGACAATTTCCGCTGTAGATGGCAGATAGTTTTCAATGGTAGTGGTTGTCCATTCAGAAGCTTTCTTTAATTGGTTCATCTCTGAAATTGTATATATCAATATAAAACAAGATAATTAATGTTAGTTCATTGGCAATGTAGGCCATACGTGTGATCGCACCTTGGCCCTAGATTGGTACGTGCATAGATCAATCCACATCAGGATTGGTAGAGCGAGGAGGTTCCGGAAGTTGAAAGGTATTAAATGGAAGAGAAGCACATAAATCTCTTTTCCGAATTTCCCTTTAAGGCATGTTTGGCTGCACACAAATCTACTTCAATCCACGTGGCTTGAGAGGAATTGAGGTGGAACTTAAACTAAATTCCACCTCAATCCCTCCCAAACCACGTGGATTGGGGTGGATTCGTGTGCAGCCAAACAAAGCCTTAGTGAGCAACTCCAGCAGTTCCCAATTCTCTTTCCCATAAAAACCTTCCATGGATCCTGTTGTTAGAACCTAACTGAATGGGGCAACGAAAAAGATTGGAAAAGCATTTCTGCTTCTGTTTTCCTTTTATGGGCCTGTTTACATGGATACATTACTGATGTGGGCTGGCCTGTCTTCAACAACTCGTAAATCAAAATCCAGCATCTTTCAGCTGCAACTGGAGAGCACAGTAGAACATGGCTGATGTCTGAAGTCTGAACTAGTTGGTTTGAAGAATGAAATCTGATCATCAAAGGTTTGGCCAACTTTGCATGATAGTGAAATAACATAAGCGTGATAAATACAGGAGACAAGAAGATAAGTATGACTGAAGTCAATTTCGTGTTCCTTTTCTTCCTTTAAAGGTGAGTGCAGAATTTTTATATATCTGGCTTGAGATTTTCCAAAAAATTAAATTACATGAAAAAGCTAATGTTTTTGTAGAGTTAGACAAGACACTTAAGATGGCGGTGCAAACTCAAGAGCTCCAATCACTGGACATGTTTCGATACCATTTGCTAGTCGCTGCGGTTACTCGGAGTAGATGTAGGATAGGCACACGCGTTTGGAGCAGTGAGTCACTTGCAACATATATAGCTGCCTTAGTTTTGATCAATGTCAAGGTATTCCAGCGAGCAGATTGAGTTTTATAGGTGTTTTGGACTACATTTGATAGAGAACTAAGCAACATGTGATTTAGCTACTCATGAGTTAATGTGTGATAGGACATCAGCCCTGAGTCACCCCGGAGTCCACCGGCACGCTGAGACTGTGAAACACAGTACCAGGCCTCCAAAAGGGTAACCACGCGGTCTCGGGAGAGTTAGAGGATACGCCCTTACCTCCCTACGCTATCAACTAGAACATAGCAGTAGTGGTACCACCCTAGTCAGATCATATCCGTCTCCCACCCAACTAGTAGTGAGTGGTGTGCAATGGCTCCTATGGACCGGTTCTCCCAACATATTAGTCCTTAGTGGTACCAGACAAGACATCTTCTTAGGTGCGAACACACCCAACTTCCAGTGCCTCGACGACACCTCCTTCCCGGGGGCTCGCCTCGCGAGGCAACCTAGGAACTACTGAGCTCACATGTAATAGCCATAGGTACGTACCTCAAATAGAAATTGCTCAGGTCACACTCTCCCGGCAAGACTCGTCCACAAGGCTCAACGTAGAATCCTGTATAGTCGACTCGACCCTCACCACACACCCAAGACACGGTACAATCTCTCATCCTCGGTGTAACCATAGCAGTGGCACCAAGTGCCTAATGCACACACATCACATATCAAGCATTATATGTAAGTATGATGGAGTATATGCATGCAAGCAAGCAAACAGGCATATATACTAGTGCGAGCGCGGAGCTGAGTGATCGGAAGGGGTGGTTTTCAAACAAGGCAATCAGGGCTCAGGCAATAGCATGCATCTCATATACTAGCAATGAATAAATGTAAAGTGCTAGACTTCTACTTTGCAATGCCTAATAGGATTATCTAAATAAAGGTGCAGCCATGAGACCCACGATGTCGAGGTTGTAGTGGTACAAGTCTCCAACAGCCGGCATAGTCGATCGGCAGGGGCCTCCACCTCTAGGGTCAGCTCCACCCCACGGGTCCTTCACCAAAGCTATCGCACGTGCAACCAGTATTTCTATAAGCTATGGCTACCAGAAAGAACCAAAAGAACGAAGAAGAGCCAAATGCACTCATACATGGCTGTGAACCTATGGCTTTGACCTAAGCTTTGGTACGCTTTAGGGACTTAGTTGAAGGCTAGGGAACATGGTAGGCACAAGGTGCCTTCAGTTCTAGGTTAGGGTGCCACGGTGAGATTGGTTCAGCCCAAACGAAAGGTTGGCAGTGTTCCATGTGTCGCCACCGGCTGGTTCAAAAGGGTTGAGCTACCGAAGCTATGTGTCCACTACTATACAAAAACTTATCCG